CTGCGTTATAGTTACAGTCAAAGTAATTAGATTACTCGTTACTCAAACAAGGTAACGGCGTTAGTAACGTTACTTTCAACGCTGTTATTCCCATCACTGACTCTAACAAGTCACATGCAGGGTGAAGCTGTTCACCTCACGCATACGACTTTGTTTCATTTTGTCTCCATTTATGTGGATCGCTAGTTGACATATCGACTTTGTTTACCCGAGTTCCTGAATTAAACAGCGCCAGCTTGGTGGGACTGCTGGTCCTGATTGCCTTCGTTGTGGACCAGCTAGACTGGGAGGAATCCCAGTAAGTTAAGCTGGCCTAGTGCAACGTGCCTCTGATCCATAGAAAGGATTGGAAAATATGAAAACATATTATTAATAATGACATTTAAAAAAATGGGTAAGGCAAAATGCACATTCGTTATACATACATACAAACATCAACGCCAGTGACATCACAGTTCACAGGTAAGATGGGAGCTAAAGGGCTAAACGGAAAAAAAAGCAAAATGGGGAAAAATTTGATCAGAACCAGAGAAAGCGAAGGAGCTCAGAGGGAAAGCAGAGTTTACTGGTTTTATTCTGAATAGAGAATTTAAATATTACAAGTTGAGCATTAGCGCACCTGGCAAATGGTTCGAAGCGGTACAGAATGAGAGCTGGCGGGCGCGAGTGCACCACGTATTGGTTGGGAGGTGTTTAAATCGCAGAGACTAGCTGATGGTGACTGACTTACTATCCTCCTCAATCTCATTTTTCCACCGTTTGGTTCCATGATCATAGAGCAATTGAGTCGGTTCAGTGAAAAATTAGGAGCCAGAAACGTAGAAGCTGTAATTCTCTTGATGTTCTCCGTTACTCTGGTCTGACGGATCAGCTTTATGTTAGAAGGACCATTACGATGTCCAGGATGAAGCTCATGAACATTTCTGCTAAACTCTCTGTCCCCACTGTGGGAATGATTGAAGTCATTTGAATTGGTTCCAGGAACTGGTAAAGAACCGGCTCCACGCTGCGGATCGGTGCAGGCAGACATGTTCTCTGAATGTGAAGCCATTGCTCTGTCTCTTCGCAGCCCTGGACACACAGGACATCACCGCCGAGGTCACCTCACCGTCCGGAACCAGTCAGCCCGCTGAGCTGGTTTCCATGGGCAACGACACCTACTGCGTGCGGTTTGTGCCCACACAGATGGGCGTGCACACCGTTGATGTAAAGTACAGGGGTGTGCACGTACCAGGCAGTCCTTTCCAGTTCACCGTTGGACCACTAGGAGAGGGCGGAGCCAGCAAAGTGCAAGCCGGGGGTACAGGCCTGGAAGGAGCTGTGGCTGGAGAGCCAGGTACTGAACATTCCCCCAGAACATTTAGTGTTCCCCCATTTAGTGGGTGAACCAAACTCTCTCTAACTGACACGATCTCCAGCCGAGTTCAGCATCTGGACGAGGGAGGCCGGAGCCGGTGGTCTGTCCGTCTCCATGGAGGGACCCAGCAGGGCAGAGATCTCCTTCGATGACCGCAAAGATGGATCCTGCGGCATCTCCTACGTAGCTCAGGAGCCTGGTAGATGGCACACAGACGGAGGATGTAATGCTGTTGCTAGACGGTAACTGTGGCTAACATTGGCTCTCCCTCCTCTGCAGGTGATTATGAGATCTCAGTGAAGTTTAATGAGCAGCACATCCCTGACAGCCCCTACCTGGTTCCTGTTGTGGCTCCGGTGAACGATGCCCGACGGCTCACTGTTGCCGGCCTTCAGGTGAGGCATGAGGAGACACCTCCACACCCGCCTTTCCTGCTCTGGAGAGCAGCTGCATAAAAACCCGTTTGCTCCTTGGTGAAGCTGATGGATTTGCTGGGAGGGTTCGGCTGAGAACAAGCTTTGCGACCATTTAGTTTTATAATAATTTGGAGAAAATCTACAGTAAATTTAAGCATCGTCCTTTTTCCAAATCCCAAAAAAATATTCTTCAAAACGGCCCACATCAGTCGCTCTCTCCAAGTTGGTCAGTGGTGCGATCAGAAAATGCTGAATGTCGCTTTATGCAGCTGCTCCCATGGAAGTGACCAAAGCCAAGCAAACGCTAGCTAAACTCTTTGCTTCAAGCTCACCAATCTTTTTATACTCAGCCAAGAATTAGAAAAACAAAGAATATAAAACAGAATAAAATTTTGTCTTTTAATAAAGGAAACTCTCAAAGTTAAACTGAATTAATTGCAATTAATTTTTTTTTTAAGTAGGATAAAGTTGGTTTTCTTTGCTTGGTTCTGGTCATCCCTCCGTTACTTTGGTGTGGAACTGTTGGTGTTTCTCTTGTGTTTCATTTAAAGGCTTTTAACAGCGCCACCATGGGCTCTGACTGCAGCAGGCCCCTCCATGTATCCTGCTGACTCACATGTATTATGTTCTGCAATCTGAGTTTGTATTGCATGAACAGGAGAATAGGATCCTCATCCTGAATCACCAAGCACATTCATTTTACAGTTATAAAAAAAAAACTGTACAAAAAAATGACAGATTTGAATATTTAATCTGAAAACGTTGTGAAGGCCTCTGTGAACCTGAAAGATTCTGTGTCTTTCATTTTTCTGGTTCTCGGTGTAAAAAGTTTTTCAGTGATAAGTTCAGTTGAGTAAGTTTCATTTGTAAGGATATTTAGATGTAATTTTAAAGTAATTGTGGAGGATGTTTTTACGGTTGGATCATCTAAATAAGTGGTTAATCATCCTGGTGAGATGTTT